CGAGTAAATGAATTAAGGAGCCATTACTACATGGAGCATCATTATGCCTAATCACAGAAATTATTGGGTTTGCCTCCCTGAGTGATCATTTTTATAGGTTTTAGTCCTCTGCTCAGCTGTGATTTCACACTTGTTTAAATGTGGATCTTACAAGTAGGACGTCTGATTTCTGAGACTAAATAATATTTCATACAGCCCTGGTTTCAAATTAGTTCATGACATTATAGATAGGAAGGAGATATATTGATGGATCAATTCTCCCCCATTTCAGTACAAATCTATAAAGCATCACACTGTTGTATCACGTTCAGCATGTGGTATATTAGGAGTCTTAGCAGACCAAAAGCCGAACATGAACTTCCAAGTGTTGTGCTGCAGTTTAAAAGGCAAATGCAATTCCAAGTTGCAGCAATGGGAGTATACATCAAGGGAAGTACCCTTTTGTTCTGCTTCGGTCAGATCTCACCTGGAATATTATGTGCAACTCTCGATACCACAATTCGAAAAAGATATTGATGAACTGGGATGTGTCCAGAGAAGTGCAACAAAATGGAAAAGGTCTAGAAGCCATGCCATGAACAATGGTGTAGAGAGCTAGGTATGTTTAGACTGGAGAAGAGAAGGCTAAGAAGTGACATGATATCTGTGTTTAAATACTTGATATATAAAATATGGAGCAAGCTCATTTCCTGTTATTCCAAAGATAAAGGGTACATCTGCATTGCAGAATGAATGCAGTTTGGTACCACTTTAACTGCCCTGGCTCAATGCTAAGGAATCCTGGGAGCGGTAGTTTTACCATGTCTTTTATTTCCTCTGCAAGTGGTGTCTTCCCAAGCCACATATCCTGGGATTCTACAGAACTGAGTGATGGCAGTTAAAGTGGTGTCAAACTTCATTCATTTAACAGAGCGTATGCACTCCGGGGCATGGAGCAACAGAATCAAACTACAGGAAAAGAGATTCCATCAAAACATTAGGAAGACCTCTTGATTGTAAGAGATTGAATATGTTGCCTTGGAATGTAGTGAAGTCTCCTTCTCTGGAGGGTTTTAAACAGAGGCGGCTGGATGGTCATCAATGGGGAGTGCTTTAATTGTGTATTTCTGCATGACAGGGGTTGGACCGGTTGGCCCTTTTGATGTTTTCCAGCTATGTGCCTCTACTTTGGTACAATGTGTTCCCAATTTTATGACCTTTTCTATGAGCTCTCTACTTTCTAACAGCAAACCCAAATAGCAATGACTTAGCTTTATGTCTGAGAACTCTACATTGTTGTTTTTAGCTACCTTCAAATCATTTTTTTTTTTACTAATGATGGCATTATGACTAAGAGACCTCCCTAAGAGACACCCTACCTTTACTTTATAGAACCAGAATCATGGCTCCATCCAACTGGAATTCCATTCCTAAACTGCAATCCCCAGTTAAAGTGGAATTGCAGTGCTATAACTGGGCACTGCAAAGGAATTCCTGGAATCTTCATGAGCTGGAATTTCAATTAAAAAGAATGGCCTAAATCAGATATGTCAAACTCATTTTCACCAAGGTCTGCATCAGCCTTATGGTTGCCTTCAAAGAGTCGTTAAATGTAACAACATTGCCCTAGCAATGAAAGCCTTTTGGGCTTTGCGCTTGGCGGGGATGAGGGACAGGGCCTTCCCGGTGGTGGCCCCCCACCTGTGGAATTCACTCCCCTCTTCATCCCTCCTCTCCTTTAGAAAGAAGCTAAAAACGTGGATGTGGGACTAGGCCTTCAGGTAAATAGTTGGACAATGACAATGTTGCCAGTGTCAAAGGTCGAATGATATAGAAGTAGGACACAATCTATTACTTATTTTCATATCATTGGGTCTTCCTACTCATGGTATTAATTTTTGGGGGGAGGTATACATACCTTACTAGTCCTATAGCAGTTAGAGTTCTTGCTGGCTAAGGGATTCTGGGAGCTATAGTTAAAAATATATGTTTCCAGTTTATGCAGTCAAACACAAACTATTCCCTTCGCTTGCATCAATGCACCAACTCAAACCCAAGGGAGCCTCTTCTATCAGCGGAACTTAACTCTCAGTAGAGAAAGAGCAGATGTATGTAAACAACAGAGTATGGAAGCTACTGTGCACTGGCGCCTGATTTGGTATTTATGTACATTACTGATAAAGATAGGGAGGGTGACTCAGTAAAATCCATCTTGTAGATGGCTACCAGCTGGGCCAATGCTCCCAATAATAACCCATTAGTGATCTTTTAAAGCCATGGCTTTTGGCCAGCCTGCTCATATTGAGCTTGTGGACAGAGGTGGATGTCTAACAATGCTCACAGACTGTGGTGCAAACTTCTGCTCTCCAGGGTTGTATCCCAGCCAGGGAAAGCTGTACACCAAGCTGGTGCCTCCACCCTCAGCCATGAGCACACTACAAATAGAATCATAGAGTTGGAAGAGACTTCATGGGTCATCCAAAGCCCCCCCCCCCCAACAGATAGCCATCCAGCCTCTGTTTAAAAGCCCCCAAAGAAGGAGCCTCCACCAGACTTCGGGGCAAAGAGTTCCACTGCTGAACAGCTCTCACAGTCAGGAAGTTCTTCCTAATGTTCAGGTGGAATCTGCTTTCCTGTCATTTGAAGCCATTGTTCTGTGTCCCAGTCTCCAGGGCAGCAGAAGACAAGCTTTCTCTCTCCACCCTATGACCCCCTCTCACATATTATCTCTCATCATGTCTCCTCTCATCATGTCTCCTCTCAGTCTTCTTTTCTGCAGGCTAAATATGCCCAGCTCTTTAAGTCGCTCCTCATAGGGCTTGTTCTCCAGACCCTTGATCAATTTAGTCGCCCTCCTCTGGACACATTCCAGCTTGTTAATATCTCTCATCAGTTGTGGTGCCCAGAATTGGACACAGTATTCCGGGTGTAGTAAACCATTATTTTACTGACACAAAAATATAGTATGACACAACAAACGAGATATATATGCTGGATTTCGAGATCTCAGTTGGCATTTGGAAACAATAAACATTGACAAAATCATGATCTGTCAACTGCAAAAGGCCACCTTACTTGGATCTGTGCATATCATTTGAAAATATATCACACAGTCCGAAATGCTTGGGAAGTGTTCGGCTTGTTATTTTGTGATACGAAAGTAAGTCAATATTATTATTATTACTAGCTGTCCCCTGCCACGCGTTGCCGTGGCCCAGTTTGATGATCTGGAAAATAAAGTAATGAGAAAGTGTTGGTTTCTAATATATGTAATTTCTATATGCTTGTGAGTAAACAGTATTTCTTGTTGTTTCTTTGTCAATGTTGATGTGAAGATTGTCTGGTTTGCCTACTCTGGAACATGCAACATATCATTGTCCTTCTTTAGGGGTCCCTTTCAAATCTATGATACTATATCTGTGTGTGTGTGTGAATCATATATATCTATGTATATCTATGGCTGGATGGCTCTTTGTCAGGAGGGCTTTGATTATTTTCTTGCCCTGGTGAAGAGAGTTGGACTGGATGGCCTTAAGTATTTTCTGTTGGTCATGGAGGTTCTGTGTGGGAGTTTGCCCAATTCTGTCGTTGGTGGGGTTCAGCATGCTCTTTGATTGTAGGTGAACTATAAATCCCAGTAACTACAACTCCCAAATGTCAAGGTCTATTTCCCCTAAACTCCTTCTTTGTTCATATTTGGGCATATGGAATATCTATGCCAGGTTTGGTCCAGATCCATCATTGTTTGAGTCCAAAGTGCTCTCTGGATGTAGGTGAACTACAACTCTCAAACTCAAGGTCAATGCCCACCAAAACCTTCTAGTGTTTTCTGTTGGTCTTGGAAGTCCTGTGTGCCAAGTTTGGTTCAATTCCATCGTTAGTGGAGTTCAGAATGCCCTTTGATTGTAGGTGAACTATAAATCCCAGCAAATACAACTCCCAAATGACAAAATCATAAGTTTTTGAGTGATGGTCACTCCTTGTATTGTGAGATGTTTTGTTGCCAAATTAGGTGTGATTTCGTTCATTGGGTTTTTTTTGTTTTTAAGGTACTCATTATGCACAGAGCATTTATATATATATATAGATTATTATTTGAAACACAACTAGATGAGTCCACAGCAGACACTCTGCTGGCTGTTGCATTGGATCACACGTGTCTAGGACTTTGTGATGTATTGGTGAATAATGCATGCAGATCCCAGTAAAGTGGCCTTTTGCAGCTGGCAGATGGTAATTTTGTCAGCGCCGATTGTGCTTAAGTGCAGGCCAAGGTCTTTAGGCAATGCACCCAGTGTGCTGATCACCACTGGGACCACCTTTTCTGGCTTGTGCCAGAGTCATCGTCATCATCATCATTATTAGATGACTGGAGGCCCACACACACACACACACACACAAGAAAACCCTATGGGCACTTTAATAAGCTTGGAAGGGGCAAGCTTATTTTCTGCTGCTGTTGAAACTAGGGAAGGGAGGAATTGATTCATACTGCAGGGAAAGAGGTTCTCCCTAAACGTTGGGAAGAACTTCCGCATTGAGGTGTTTGACAGTCTTCGGCTGTTTTGAAAAGCAGGTTGTGTGGGGCGTGTGCCTGGCAGAATGGGGGTGGACCGGCCTTTCTCTTGCGGTCTCTTCCAAGTTGAGGAGTCTATGAAAGACTTGTCCTAAATCGAGGGAAAGCCAGAGACAGAGAAAAGCAACGAGGAAGGCGTGCCGAGGCAGGCGGATTTTGAAGCGCTTGGGAAACTTCTGTCCCGCAGATGGAGGGGGAACTCTAGGTTTGTTTGTGTGTTTTCTTGTCCAGAGGAAGCTTAAGGCACAGGGGCGCGGGATCTTCAAGGAGGAGCTCCTTGGCGATGCCGGGAACGAAGGGAGACCCAGTTCGCCCCCATGGCTAGGCGTGGAAAAGCTCCACGGGCGGAGAGACTCTCCTGCTTCCCCGGCGCCTGTTTCTTCCCAAACGGGAGTGGAAAGCCCACGCAGACCTGCGACCCCCTTTCTCATTCCCTAGTGAGTACCTTGCTGAACACTTCCAGGTCCTCGTCGTCGTCCAAGTCCAGGAGCAGCGGGGCAGCCGAGTCCCCCGCCACGTCGCCGCCGCCCTCGGGCTCCATCGCCTTCCCCTCGCTGGATCTCCCTCTTGGAGAAGGAGGAGGAGGGCGATCCCCGGTTGGAGCCCCTCCTCTCGCCTTGGCTATTGGTCGCCTCCTCGCTTCGCCTTCCCTTTCCTGCGCGGCTGGGAAGGAAAGAAGCGGGGAAAGGAAGGGAAAGAGCCAGGAATGGCGCGGGAGGGAGGGAAGGAAGAGGGGCCGGAGCCCGCGAAACCGCCCCCAATCCCCACTTTGGAGGGTCGCTTTGGAAAAGGGGGGGGAGGGGGGATCCAGACTTGACGAGTTGGTCCCAGCCTACTTTTCTCTAGTTTAGGAGGAGCAGTCCTGCGTAATGCTTGCCAACCTCATTTTCCTAGCTTACTTTAAAACGCCTCTCTTCTTTCCAGCTGCCTCATTGGCTTTCTCCAGGCTGAAATGAAAGTAGAACTCATTCCTCTGTATCAGTGGTTCCCAAACTTTTTTTTGACCGGAGACCAATTTGATCAGGGACTACTTCGACCAGGGACCACTTCGACCAGGGACCACTTCGACCAGGGACCACTTAGACCAAGGAACCACTTAGACCAAGGAACCACTTAGACCAAGGAACCACTTTGACCAGGGACCACTAGAATCAAAGAATCAAAGAGTTGGAAGAGACCTCATGGGCTATCCAGTCCAACCCCCTGCCAAGAAGCAGGAATATTGCATTCAAATCACCCCTGACAGATGGCCATCCAGCCTCTGTTTAAAAGCTTCCAAAGAAGGAGCCTCCACCACACTCTGGGGCAGAGAGTTCCACTGCTGAACGGCAGGAAGTTCTTCCTCGTGTTCAGATGGAATCTCCTCTCTTGTAGTTTGAAGCCATTGTTCCGCGTCCTAGTCTCCAAGGAAGCAGAAAACAAGCTTGCTCCCTCCTCCCTGTGGCTTCCTCTCATATATTTATACATGGCTATCATATCTCCTCTCAGCCTTCTCTTCTTCAGGCTAAACATGCCCAGCTCTTAAGCCGCTCCTCATAGGTTCTCCTTTGACCAGGGACCACTTTGACCAAGGACCACTTTGACCAGGGACCACGTTTATCAGGGACCATTTTGACCAGGGATTACTTTGATCAGGGAGCACTTTGCCAGGGACCACCCTCCAACATTAGTACCAAAAGGCTTATGAATCGGTTTTTGGTCAACTTTGTGGGGTTATTTGAGGCACTAATTCAGAAAATTGTATTGGATAGACCACATCAGCTATATTTTCTCATACAGAACATATGCTATCCAGTAGTTGCCATCTGCTCACCCACAGAAAACCATATTTAATAATCTAGAGTTGATGTGGTCTATCCAATGCAATTTTCTGAATCAGCACCCAAAATAACCCCACAAACTTTCCCAATAAACAATCCGAGGAAATGTCCTGAAATGATTTCATGCAAAATCCAACTTTTCTGTAAGGTAGATATTAGAAGGTAAAGGTAAAAGTTTCCCCATAACATTAAGTCCAGTCATATCCAACTCTGGGGGTTGGTGCTCATCTCCATTTCTAAGCTGAAGAGTTGGCGTTGTCCGTAGACGCCTCCAAGGTCATGTGGCCAGCATAACTGCATGGCGCACCGTTACCTTCCTGCCGGAGCAGTACCTATTGACTCACATTTGCATGTTTTCAAACTTCTAGGTTGGCAGAAGCTAGGGCTAACAGTGGGAGCTCACACCGCTCTCTGGATTCGAACCTGCGACCTTTTGATAAGCAAATTCAGCAGCTCAGCAGTTTAAACCACTGCACCACTGGAGGCTCCAATGATTAGATTTTTTTTATTCTGCTACATGAAAGTGACACTTTTTTTTTTGCTCAGTTTCTTCTATGTACTAAACTGGAGATTAGTCTTCCTAACAGAAGCACGGCTTTGCCCAATCAAAGTGCATGGCTGACACAGGAATGTGTGTATCTCCATTTTTCCAAGTGATTAGCTGGGAACTAAAGGATGCAACATTGCATTTTTAGAGTGCCAATGGCAACATTTTTAAAACCCTTGCATAGCTCAGGCCTCAGTTGATGCTATCTGCAGTGTTTCTGAATAAACAAAGCACTCACCTCTAGGATTTAAGGATGGCTGACACAAATTTTCAAGCTTTTTTTTGGAATGCCTCACAATCAGTGAAACCACTTCTCCAGCTGCCAATGAGGGATCTATGCACTATCTCTTGATCACTGTTTTGAGGGTAGCATTTGTCCCCAAATATAAATCCACCACCAGGTATGATAAGCACAGTGTGAGGATCTTCTTGGTAGCAGAAACTCTCTTTATAGGATGGATAGAGTGTGTCTTTCTGCTTCCTCTTTTTCTGCCATGAGATTTAAAAAAATCCCAGTAGTGTCTTGTGACTGTGTCCTTATATACTTTCAAGTCATCTGTCAACTTATGATGACTCCATGGATTTTCTTAGGCAAGGGATACTCAGTGGTAGTTGTGCCACTACCTTCCTCTGAAATATAGCCAGCAACACCTGGTATTCATTGGCAGGAAAGGATTTCAATTATGTGTTATTCTGTGGATTTTATTATTTTACTCTATCTAGACACAATAAACTGAAAATATGCATGTGTGTATATGACTGGGGTGTCCACTTACACAGACAAGCTCCCACCTCCACAAACAGCTATTGCTGTCACTACACAAGAGATACCAATGGGCATTCCTCCAATAACATTACAGGTTACAATGAATACCATGAACATGTACAAGAGCCCTGCCAATGTCCTTCACCAAAACCACACTTCCCACCACCCAAGTGAAAGCTTTCATTCAGGGACTAATTCACCCTAGTTTTGATGTGTTTCCTCCACCACAGGCATCCCAGTGTTTCTTACTCTCTCCAATGGTGTGAAATTTGCTTAACCCCACCCACTGCCTCTCCCTTAACCCTTTCCTATTCTTTTCTATGGCACACAGCAAACAAAGGAATTGATCAGCAACTGAACATACTAGAGAGGTTTGGGGAGAATGCACTATGACTTATAGGAATTGTAGGTACTGGGATGCATAGTTCACCTGCAATCTAAGAACTGCAGTCTGAACCCTACCAATGATAGAACTGGAACTAACTTGGCACACAGAACCCCCATGATCAACAAAAAATACTGGAGGTCTTTGGAGGGAGTTCTAGGAGTTGTAGTTCACTTACATCCAGAGTGCACTATAAACCCAAACACATATAGATCTGAGCCAAACTTGGCATGCATACCTGATATGCCCAAATTTGAATACTGGTGAGTTTTGAGGGGAACTGGCCTGGACTGTTTAGAGTTGTAGGTACTGGGGTTTATAGTTCACCTGCAATCTATGAGCACTCTGAACTCCACCAAAATGGAATTGGATTAAACTTGGCGCATAGAGCCCCAATGACCAGCAAACATACTGGAGGTCTTGGGGGAAAATTCATCTTGATTTGGGGGAGTTGAAGTTCACCTACATCCAGAGAGCACTGTGAACTCAAACACTGGTGGATCTGGACCAACCTTGGCACACATACCTGATATGCTGAAATTTGATTACTGGATGGGTTTAGGGGCGGGGGGAACTAACCTTCCTTTCTGGAAGTAGTAGTTCACCCACAACCAAAGAAACTGTGACCTCCGCCAATGACTAATCTGGACCAAACTTGGCCAGACCTACTGGGAGGGTTTAAGGGGACTGACTCACCATAGTGGAAGTTGTAGTTTACCCTGCAGTCAGAGAACACAGTGAACCCCCAGCTGACATCAGATCTGGAACAAACTTGGCACGCAGATTCAACATGGCCAACTGTTCATACAGGCAGGGTTAGGGTGTGATTGATCTTGGATCTGGGAGTTGTAGTTCACCCTAATCCAGAGAGCACTGAACCCAGCCAACATTGGATCTCGACCAAATTTGGCACACAGACCCAACATGGCTAACTATGAATACTGTTGGAGTTTGGGAAGGATAGACCCATGATTTTGGGAATTGTAGTTCACCCACTTCCTTATGAATTTTCTAATGGGAGCATTCATAACAAACAAAAGCAAAGACTTGATTTTTCCTAATAAATAGCATTACAAATTACCAAAGTGACAGGCATGTCGCCGGGGGGGGGGGGGGGGGGCTTGAGGGGCTTCACCCCCCCCCCCGAAATTCTCATGGTGGTCCGCGAGAAGGCCTTACTGGTACATTATTTAAACTGTTATGTTTATTCATATCATGATCTGATCACCATGCTCAATATATCCCATATGCATGGGGTATTGGGGTAACGATACAAAAGGTTTGCTAGGGTAGACCCTCTTTCACTCAGACTCCCCCCCCCCCCGAATCAAACTCAACCCCCCCCCCAAAGAAATCATAATCCTGGCTACGGGCCTGCAAAGTGATATTACCTAACACCCCAAAACAAACAATACTTTTTTGAATAACTGGAGCATTGCCAGGTCCCCAAGCTGGTATATAATCTCTTCAATATTAAGTGAGTCAGAAGTCAGTTGGGTCTAAAACAGCTGAGAAAGAGAGGGAAATGGAAAATTGTGCTACGTGCCCCCTAAAGTATTTTGGGAGGGTTTGCACATTCTTTTGGACTCAATGAGGGGGACCCCCCCTCGCTCTATATTCCTAGGCTACTTTTCTGTGGCTTTAAACAAGGATCTTTATCAGCCCTAGCCATGCAAAACATTTGTTCAGATAGCTCTATCAAAACAACCACTTAGATAATTTTCTTATGGATTTTGTGAGATTCTACTGAATCTATTTGGAATAAGTACTACAGGAGCAGTTGGAAAGCCGTGGTTTTACCTGTATCAGGTGTGCATATATTTCCAGTCTAGGGCCCCCACACAGCACAGAGCTAGGATTAGGACACATCATACTATAGTGTTTTAAGCAATTAACTATCTAGCCATAAATATGATTATATTACATTCATTTTGCATTTTAAAAATAAAAACCTTAATGTTACAAACCATCTTGAGGCCTGCAATATGTTTTATTCAGCTAGATGCAAATTGCTTCAGTTATGCAGTGTGAGAAAATAATCTCTATCCTCCATAATTTGAATGGTTACTTGCTCGAATG